GAATAAGGACTCAGCGCCTCTTGCAGCCACGGAAGTGAAGGGGCAATTTTAAGGGTTTCGCGGCGGGGATCATTGTTAATAAGAATCTGGGACTGGGGTGGAGAGCGCATCTTGCAGCCGTGCAACGCCCCGCCCCGCCCCGCCCCGCCTCGCCCCTGCCACCGTCTGCCCGGCCCACTCCCGCTCCCCCACCCGCCTCCATCAAAAGGGAAGTCGCGGGGACCGAAAAGGCCAGTTGTTTACAAAGGGGGAGGGGAGCGGGGCTTGACCGTCGCTTCCTGCATCTGGGATGGAGCAGAAAGACGCGCGTCCCAAGATGTCGGACACCAAGTCAAAGGGCGAGGTATTGTCTGATGAATCGAACCGCAAGCCATTTTGGCTCTCCGTGTCCATCCAGCCGCCGATGTCAGTCCTCCGGGCGGCCTGAGCGAGGACACCGGATGGGATTCGTAACATTCGACTTCCCTGCGGAGCGCGACCGCGCGCGCCACGTAAGGCCCGCGCCCCGGGAACCGCGCGCCCCTGGCCAGCCCTACCCGGCTGCGGCCCGGCTGGGCCCGGCGGGCGGCAGGCCCCCCGAGCGGGGAGGTTGGTTTTATGAATGGGAACATCTCCGCGTCGCGGCGCCAGCCCGGAGCCGCGGGCACAGCCTCCCTCCACCCGCCAGCGGTCTGCGCCGCTGTTCTCTCTCCGCCGCTGCCGCGGGAAGGGCGGTGGGCGAGGCGCGGCACAGTGGGTGGGGACCAGGCGGAAGGAAGGGCTGGCAGCGCAGCCGGCTCAGCCCACGGAGTTGCAGGCTGGCGTGAAACAGACACACATTAGGAGCCGTTTGTTGAGAAACGCTGTGAATATTGAAGTCTCGCCTCCCCCTCTCCTGCAGGTCTCCGTGGCTCCAAACAAAGACGGGGCTGGCTCCGCGGCGCAAGGCCTGCGAGCTCAGCGTCTGCAGGCTCGTAAGGGGGTGGGGGTGGCAGCAGGGGGAGGGGGAAGCAGCGCTGGCTGGCGGATCACCGGAGGAAGCCGCAGCCCTGGGTGAGGCCGGTGCCCAGGGGACAGGGGCCGCAAGCTGATGCACATCACTGATGTTTCTCTCTCTCTCCCTCTCCTTTTCTCTCTGAAATCAATAAAAATGTATTTTTTTAAATGATAAAATCCTATGACTCTTCAGTTCAGCTTTGTCCACGGGTGAGCAGTGTGTCTTCAGGTTGAAGAGCCGACCCACCCAGGGCCAGGGCAGAGCTCCAAGACTGAAGACACCTGACTCTCCTTGCCCTCGGCTATAGGAAGCTCAGAGCAATCATTTCACCAGGCAGCGGAACACCAGGTGGGAGATGGTGACAACCTTGCCCTCATTTGCCTTCTTTTTTTTGGGGGGGGGGTATTTTTATTGATTTTAGAGAGAGGAAGGGAGAGGGCTAGATAGAAGCATCGATCAGCTGCCTCCTGCACGCCCCCCACTGGGGATGGAGCCTGCAGCTAAGGTACATGCTCTTGACCTGAATCGAACCCAGGACCCTTCAGTTCTCAGGCCAACGCTCTATCCACTGACACAAATTGGTTAGGGCAGCGGTTCTCAACCTGTGGGTCGCGACCCCTTTGGGGGTCAAACGACCCTTTCACAGGGGTCGCCTAAGACCATCGGAAAACACATATATCATTACATATTGTTTTTGTGATTCATCACTATGCTTTCATGATGTTCAATTTGTAACAATGAGAATACATCCTGCATATCAAATGTTTACATGACGATTCATAACAGTGGCAAAATTACAGTGATGAAGTAGCAACGGAAATAATTTTATGGTTGGGGGTCGCCACAACATGAGGAACTGTATTAAAGGGTCGCGGCATAAGGAAGGTTGAGAACCATTGGGTTAGGGCCTAATCTGCCTTCTATAGATAGAGCCACCGTAAGCGGGAACCTGCCTGCCACACCTGATGTAAGTCTCCAGGTCTAGAAGGGAGGGAGGCCTCTCAGGTGTGGGAGGTTGCCAGGAAGCACCAGGGCTGGGAGTGCCCAACCTTCAAGAGGACAGGCCCGCCTGCCCCCCAATTCTCTCTGGGGGGAGGGGGAGCTGGGCAGAGGGAGCCCCCTCCACGCTACTCTTCCTGGCTGCGGAGCAGGCCCAGAGGCCGGGCTAGCCAAGCAGCCTGGAGCCTCACACGTTGAGTGCACTGAGTGGCTTAGCCCAAAGAATCTGCCTTTTGTCTGACATTCCAGTACATTCCACTCACCCTCCCCTCCGGGCTCCAGCGGCAGCAAACTCATAAAGGCCTCTTTCACCAGCACATGCACGGTGCCTCCCGGCTTCTCGCTGTTTACACGGGGCCCAGAACTGGCTGTGTGTCAAGGACGAAGCGATTCTGGTATTTACAGCTTTACTGAGTGAGGGCTTCCGGCCTTTTGGGTGGGAAACACCCCCTAAACTTCAGCTCAGGCCTCCGTGATGTTCCTGCATCGAAAGTGCAGTATAATAGCTGTCCTGACACAGCCCTTGTGGCTCAGTGGTTGAGCATCAACCCATGAACCAAGAGGTTACCAGTTTGATTCCCGGTCAGGGCACATGCCTGGGTTGCAGGCTCCATCCCCAGTAGGGGGCATGTAGGAGGCAGCTGATCGATGATGTTTCTCTCTCATCAATGTTTCCATCTCTCTCTCTCTCTCTCACTTCCTCTCTCTCTAAAAATCAATAAAAACATTTTTTTAAAAGATTATTTAAAAAATAGTCGTTCTGACTGTAGCCCTTATACTAGTAGAGTTATAACCTGCTCCTTGGTCAGCCCACAGCCCCTTCCCCTGTGTCCCCTGTGGTCAGCACACAGATCCCTCCCCAGGCCACACTGTGAGGACATTCTCAGGATCCATGCGTTGGGCTTCTCATGTCCAAGGTAAGGGCCAAACTCTTGTCAAGAGGAAGAGTGTAGCCTAGAAAGCCAACAGCAACATCTGTGGATGGACCCAGCTCTTCTTTTTCCGTTAGGCGCAGTGGCTCTCAACCTTCTGGCCCTTTAATACAGTTCTTCATGTTGTGACCCAACCATATAATTATTTGTGTTGCTACTTCAAAACTGTAATGTTGCTACTGTTATGAATCGTCATGTAAATATCTGATATGCAGGATGGTCTTAGGCGACCCCTGTGAAAGGGTCATTCGACCGCCAAAGGGGTCGAGACCCACAGGTTGAGAACCGCTGCGTTAGGGTGTTTTGGGGAAATCTCATCACCACCAGCGTGAATCCCAGTCGCCCTGTCTTCCAGCTGGTCCAGAACAGATCGACATGAAGCTGTGTGGTAAATGGGTGGAAACACTCCTAAAATGCCAGGTATCTCCACCAGCGATGCTCGGGTCCCAAACTCAAGGGTCCTGGGTTCGGTTCCGGTCGGGGGCATGTGCCTTGGTTGTGGGCACATCCCCAGTGGGGGGCGTGCAGGAGGCAGCTGATTGATGTTTCTCTCTCATCGATGTTTCTGGCTCTCTCTCCCTTTCCCTTCCTCTCTGTGGAAGGTCAATATAATATATATATTTTTTTAAAAAAAAGAAAAGAAAAGAACAAAAGGATGAGAACGAATTTAAGACATGCGTTGCAGCCGCCGAAGGGGAACCAAAAGGCCAGGATATTTGAAATGTCAATGGCTGGAGGCATTTAGACGGGAGCTTCGAAAAGAAACGAATGAGTCAGAGGGGAAATGAAAACCTCCCTGTTGGTCAGAACATAAAGCCACAGGACAATTTGTTGAAGGTTTGAATGCTTCTGGGATATGTATAGCAAAGAACAGAAATCAGTAATTTGGTCAAATTGGTTGTTCCGGAATAGTCACGCGGATGTAGTGAAGTAGAGCATAGGGAACCGAGGCAATAACATTGTGTGTGTTTTTAATCCTCACCCAAGGATATTTTTCCATTGATTTTTAGAGAGAGTGGAAGACAGAGGGAAAGACAGAAGTATCGATGTGAGAGAAACACATCGATGGGTTGCCTCCTGCACGAGCCCCGACCAGAGCCCGGGCAGGGGAGGAGCCTGCAACCGAGGTACCTGCCCTTGACTGGAATCGAACCGTGACCTCCTGGTTCATAGGTCAAGGCTCAACCGCTGGAAGCTGCCGTTTCTTGAACTTGCCTGGAGGAGTGGGCCCAGCAGCGAGGTTCCGGAGTCGGGAACACTGGGAGTCATGGAAATTTGCTAAACCTGCTGATGTTGAAGAGTATTTGATCCCAGGGAAAACTATGAGTACTTGTAGCATTTTTCAGACATGAAAAGGTCTGGAACACTCTTCCGTGCCAGGTCCGGGGATGGGGAACTTGTTCTTCCCTCTGGAGATCCCCACGTTAAATTCAAATCAGTTGAACTCAGTTCAATTCAATAGGCACTGTATTTGAAGAGTCCATTGGTGTGTAGGGGGTACACACATAAAAACATACATGCAAACAAACACGCTCGAAATACACACACACACACACACACACACACACACACACACACTCAGCCAGGGCAATTTTCCAAGCTGCCTTTCCAAAGGAAATTGGGTTTTAAAAGGTCTCCACCAAACCCCCATCAATCAAATGCCACAGAGCAGCTGGGCCCACTCAGCCCCACACAATCCCTGCCAGCAAGGCCCTGGGTCCCCGGGGGGTGCAGTGGAATTTCGGCCTGAACGGGAGCCCAGGAGAGAGGCCAGCGTGATGCCGCCAGCCGCCAGCTCAGAGCAGCCCAGGAATGGGGTCGGCTCCAGCTGCAGGGACCCGGGAGCCTGGGGGAAGGGGGCGGTAAGAGAGAAGAGTGGGGATTTGTAAAGCCACCAGGACTGGAGTCAGATCACCCAGCGAGGAAGTTGATTTTTTTAAAAAAAATGTATATATTTGTATTTAGTCCAGAGAGGAAGGGAGAGGGAGAGAGAGAACCATCAATGATGAGAGAGAATCATGGATCGGCTGCCTCCTCCTCCTCCTGCACGCCCCACACTGGGGATCGAGCCTGCAACCCGGGCATGTGCCCTGACCAGGAATCGAACCCTGACCTCCTGGACCATAGGTCATCGTTCAACCACTGAGCCACGCCAGCCGGGCCCAATCAGGACGTTTTAAAGCAATGGTTCTCAACCTTCCTCATGCCGCGACCCTTTAATACAGTTCCTCATGTTGTAGTGACCCCCAATTTCATTGTTACAAATTGAACATAATGAAAGCATAATGATGAATCACAAAAACAATATGTAATTATAGATGTGTTTTTCCGATGGTCTTAGGCGACCCCTGTGAAAGGGTCGTTCGACCCCCAAAGGGGTCGAGACCCACAGATTGAGAACTGCTGTTTTAAGGGGAGGGAGGTAGAGAAAATCGTGTGATGCTTTAGCGATTTTATTTCTGCAGCTCCTTCCTTCCAGGACCAGGGATCAGCCGAGTGAGAAATTGGCCCGCTGGGTTCTCCGGGGCCCGGCGCCATCCTGAACTAGA